ATATTCACTAACCATTATACACTGAAGCACACGGATGTCACAGATGTTATAGCAACACTCAGTTATCTTGAGAAGTACACTTTGAAGTCTGACTGAGAGTTAGATGAGGAGACATAGTTCATCTCTGTGAGATCATTCTGAGACACAAGTGTTCCCTTAAACGATCTCTTCACCGAAAAAAAAAACAGTATCCCCAGTAACAGGGACGCTCGTTCTGAGACATGTTGCTGTTGTTGTTTTTTTTCATTATTTGTCAATGCTGTGAGCACCTCAAATGAAGTTCAATTCACCTCCATCATGAAAAAAACTGAGAGGTTGATACCTCTAAATATTGGTAAATAAAGCCAAAAGTACCTGCAAGGAGATACCACTGGAGGTTAGCAAGAATTTAATTAATATTTTCTCTAATTAGGGTAAAATGACCCATTAAGTGGCATCCTGCAATGTACTTATCCACAGCACACCTCTCCTCACACACAGAACAATCAGAGAAACCCCTCTGCTGTTCAGACACCGAAATAAGGTCATGAGGACTCTCCAGAGCCTCTTTGGGAGCATGTCTGTTTGGGTAAGACACTCAGCCAGAATGAACTAGAGATGGAGCCCAAATCAGTCATACTGTTTGACTGAGGATGTAAGGTCTGCCATTCGCCTTGAAGGTACCCTGCACATCCTTCATAAAAGAGCCCATGAAAAAAAAAGGAGCTTTAGGCTTACAATGCTCCGTGGATGCCGTGCTTGTGGGAGCGGAGGATGAAGCAACAAACACATTTGGTTAAACTGTGAAACTTGAACTCTGTATCTATCGCTTGCCAGTATGGCCCATGTATCCCTGCCTGTGGTTGCTCCAGCAGACGCAGTAAAAAGAGGATGTTAATGAACTGCTGTCACACGTAGGCTGGTGCCTTTGAGGCAGCAGTCAGGATTCTCTCCACGTACTCAGTCTGTTTGCAGTGTGGAGGCTGTGATGTGCTGCCTGACTGCAGAGAGTCGCTCGCGGCCAGACAGGAGGGGACCAACTCAGTACAGGGGGTCCCTGCTGCGGTCCCACTCTCTCACCAGCAGAGCAAAGGCGCGGCTCTGTGCGCGAGTGTATGTGTGTTTCTGCTCCAGTATGTGTGTGCTTCTTTGTCTAAGATGCATGCTGGCATGGGTGCAGGTGCATTTGTCAGCAGGAAGCACGTGTGAATACATGTAACGTGCACGCACACACTTTGCAAGCACTGTTAGGCCCTGTAGATTGTTACTTAGATTAGCAACAAAACAGATTCGGATAACAAGGGAAAATCCTACGCATGTGTGTGTGTGTGTGTGTGTGTGTGTGTGTGTGTGTGATTGTGTGGGCGTGTTTGTGTTTGTGAGCGAGACAGAGCCAGTCCGCTGCTCTCCCCTGCAATCTGCCACTGCTGCACCCTGGGTAGTGTCAGAATGGTTTGGGCACCCGCTGTGCCACCTGTCACCCCCAGCCCCGAGGCTCACTGCCGGTCCAGCCACCCGACACTGAGGCCCAGCCTCAATTAGATTGCTATCACACAACCAGGATTGGCTCTTTTTCCAAACAGGAGATTTCTCCCTTTCAGCTGACATTGTTAGCTTTTACATCAACACAAAAAACTGTCCACTCTCCAGGTAGGATTTCAGCGCAGGTCTTGCTCTACATTATTTAAGGTTTAAATACAAATCTACAGCTTGGACATATGTAGGGGTGGGAAATCTCCTTGTCAGTGTAGTTGCTAATGACATTATCACAAGAACTCAGCAAATAGGGTACCCCTTGAAGGGGAATTCGGGGACTCTCTTGTAAGCATGACATCTGGCTCCACCAAACATCTGAGTAAGCAGATTGGCCCTGCAGGCCTGGTGTGACAGCCGATGAGGAAGCTGGGAGATGTGGGAGAACTGATCTGCACAGCTCCGCTGCTCAAGCTGTCACTTTAGCTTGGCTTGGCACAGTTAGATTCTCCCTGGCTCTGAAGCATTAGGCCCACTCTTCTGACTGCCGCTGCCCTGCCGGCACCAAGCCAAGCCTTTCATGGGGAGGTCAATCATCACTCTCACTCTTTCTTTCTTCCTCTCCTTCTCCTGCTTAGTCTCTCTCAGCAGGGCTCTGGCTTCTCTATCGCAATCTTTCTCTTTTTGTCCTCCCCTGCCTCTTTCTTATCCTATCCCCACCAGAAGCCACGAAATGGGATCCATTATAATCTGCCATTATTTGCTACTCCCAGTTCCTGTGCAGTACTCTAAGCTACTCATATGCTCTCTCCTTGCCATCTTTGTTCTTCTCTAAGTAGGCGTTCAGTCGTTCAGCAGTCTCTCCACCCACCAGGATCCACTGGCATGTTAAGACAACCACTTTAAGATCTTTAGTATGACAAGACAACTGGTCATGGATTGCATAAATGCTCAGCTGGATAAAATGGATGTTAAATGGTTAATGGGCTGCATTTATATAGCACCTTCCTACCGTACCGGATAAAGCCCTTTAAAATTGGATTCTTATTCACCCATTTATACACATTTTCATACAATGATTGTGGCAGAGCGTCCATGCACAGTGCTGGTCTCTCCATTTAGAGCAACTTGTGGTTCAGTGCCTTGTTCAGCGACACACAAGCAGACACAAGAAGCCGGGGATCGAATCACCAACCTTGTGATCAAAGGTTGGCAGTATTCCACTAATATTCCCAGTATGATGATTAAAGGACGACCTGCTCTACCTCCAGAGCCATAGCTGAAAACTGTTTGGCTGATGGAGTAAAACACTGCTGTCGTCAGTCACTACAGTTATATGCACACTAATATTCCACTGTTATTCTGAATATGACGATATTCCGAATATGATGCGGATCATGTGACAGTATATTGTATTAGGATATTTGAAATGGGCCTTTTTCTGAAAGACGTGGGATATGTCCATATTATTTGGATTCTAGGTGCATTCTTTAGACATGTGTATAGCACACACAAGGCATCTTGCCAGTTTATGGTCTGCTCTGAGCGTTGTCATGGATACATTGTACACAAACCAACTAGCTGTCAGTTTGCAAGGCTGGGGTAGAGATGCATGCCGAAAAAGAAAAGCCAACATTTTTGCTTGGAAGGGGAGACACACCTACTTTTAATCACTATGAAAGACTTGGATATCAACAGGTTTTTGGATACAAATATCGCAAAGCCAAATTTTTAAAACAGCGGTTGAAGGAATGAAAGAGGGTGGCTGTATTCACATGGTGGTAAGAGTCCACCACTGGTCGTACACTCTAAAAAATTTTAATTTTCAAGGAAAATTTCAGTTTATTTCAACCTGTCTCTTATCGTCCTAAATTTGTTTCAAGTGACTAGTGACATAAAAATAGAATACACTGATGAAGAGCTTCGTGAAATTGAAGAACGGAGGAGGAGAGAGAGAGGCGCAACAGGTAGAGGATAAGAGAGGAGGAATGGCTGCTGCAAGGCTGCGTAGCTCTGAAGATTGGTGGTGTACCTGTGAATGCTGTGCCCCAGTGCCCACAGAAGAGGAATGCCTCTGTTGCAAGGAATGGGACCGGTTGCATCCTTATTTTCAAGGTCTGGATGTGACCGAGGATGAGTCACCTCCACCTGGAGTAGTATCCAGCTGGGCTTTATCTAGAGTTCGCGATATTTCGGCCACGCTTTGGAAAGCAGAGCTAAATGGTAAACAAACATGGCACCACACCGGTAAGGTAAGACAACATGTTTACATGTCGTTTTCTATATGTTCTCTGACATTTATCCTAATGATATGAGGCGGTCTTTGTGGGAAAAAAAGCTTGTTTAGTGGACTAACTTTGCACTTGAAGTATGCCCGTTCACTTACGTTTTAACAGGTCTGACGCTACTATGCGCCCCGGCTGTATCTAGGCTAATGGCTAACATGCTAACTATTATTTTTATGTCACTAGTCACTTGAAACAAATTTAGGACGATAGTAGACAGGTTGAAATAAACCAAAATTTCCCTTTAAGCAAAGAGGCAAAATGACATTGGTGGTTTCAGCTGTTTTCTTTTCCATTATTTGATACATTATTTTACGTTACTGGAGCATGCATGGCTGCATGTAAACAGGAATATTAGTTGAATGTTTATTTTCATTAACCATGTAAACAGCTTCATGGGAATATATATATATTATAGGTTACATACTTATCATAGTTTACTTTTGTTTATCAACTCTTAAATCTAATATTAAAAACCAAAAGTGTTATACATTATTCATACATCCAGCAGATGAATAATAGCACTGTAGCGTGGAAGCATATACTACTTTGCCAAATGCTGAGCATTTTGGCTTATAATTTATTAATTTGGCTCTTCAGCACAGTGACTTTAAACATAAAATAATGTGGATATTAGTTGAGCAACCGTTCTGCACTCAGGTCCAATGTTAGGTAAAGGCTGAGGCAAAAAGTGTCTCAATTAAATCCTGCAAAAGGAACATTCATTATTCTCTCCAAGCACCAAAGGAAATGAGTTATTTGAGTCAGGTAATTACCCACTCACGACAGAATAAACTGTTCTTGCCTTTAATTTGCAAAGTGCATATATGTAACCATGATGTCCTGTGTTTTTCAAGCCACCTCGTCCTATATTCTCAGCCATTCTGGATGGACAAAACATGTCGCAAAAGGTCAGGACCTGGCATTGGATTGTGGTTGAGAATAAGCCCAGGGAATGTGCTCTGAGGTGGATGAAGATGCACAATGTTACGATCCATGAACATCATAATCCTTGTTTGTATGTGCAATCTAATGCCTGTCTCTGGCTGTTAACTTTTAGTGGTGAATATGACAGCCATGGAATCACAAAGATGCTGCACTTCCATTGTTGGAAGCTTTGTAATTCATTTACCAACACAAGAAAAGCCTCTGGTGCTGCTGTCTGTGTTGTTGTCGTTGCTGTTGTGGTCATTTATGTTCTCAAACCCAGACACATACGGGACATTTTACTTGGAGCACATCTTTATGTGAGATACTACTCACTTGTCTGGCCTGCCGGGCACCTGCAGGCGTAAGCGACATTTGTTAGCACTCTGGATCTGTTCTTCTTTGATGCGGATAAGCCTCTGTAGAGCCAGACACCAGTCCTGGGCCACAGTGGTGTTCAGGTTCTTTGAGGGAGAAACACACACAGTTAAAACTTGTTTTTCTGCTGTAGCATACAGTAGGTCATCTCACAGAGACACAAGTGTACAGGGCACAAGGGCATACTGTAGATACACTTACATATTGATATTCTCACACGCAACCAACCACACATCCACTCGCTGCACAACTGCAGTACATTATTTGACACTGTGTGGTTATGACATTTTTATCCCCTCAAATGTAACGTTGAATTCACTTCAACACCAGCATCCATTTTACAGTAAAACCTTGTTCCCTCAAGTCAAACTGAATCAAATCAATTTTCTGTAGTCAATGAGCTGTATGAACTGTGCTGAAATATTTTTGTCTGTTTGTTCGGTGGGCAGCATTATAACTGGGTGGAAAGTGAAAATCAGTCATTTAGTGCCGTGTCAATATTACTCCTCCTGAGGACATTGTGCTCATTAAGTGCAGGGAGGCAAAGGTGCCACCATTAGCCTGAGACGCTCTTTGGTGATTGCTGGAGTATACCTCCCTGGCTGCGTTATGTAGTGTATGGTACTGTTAATGTGTTAGTGGCAGACAACTGGGAAGTGTCCTGATTTGAGCGCCACAGGAGGGGCACTGCCGATTTCTTCTGCTACATAGCAAATCTGACACTTCTATCCAATGTAGAATATCAGAGGGAACATCTCATTCCCACCATTGTGGCACTCTTGATGTTGAGATAGATGGCAGCATGCATGCTTTTAGAAATTGATGATTCGAGATGAATATGAGGCTGCTCTTTGATCACATTTTAAACATCTAGAATCCTTTTGTAATTTCTTTAAGAGGAAGAGCAGAAAGAGATTTCCCCAAACGGTTATCCCTGTACCATCCAGACTTGAGCTCTCAGTTTGCATTGAATCAGGCTATTCAAATTAGCTGGGCATACTTCAATTTTGTCTTTGCAGCCTCGGTGTTCTCAGGGCTTATTGTAAAGTAAGCTGCGGTTTACAGAATACATTTCATATTTTATATATTATATACACATATATTTCCATATTTCAGTCAATATCTTGAGATAGCTGGTTTATAAATAATTTGTGATACTGAAAGCAGGATTGGAGGGCAGAATAGCACGTCTGAAGGTCAGTCTGAGAGTGTTTCTTTTTTTGTTTTTTTTCCAGTGGCCAATTTAAAAAGAGGCTTTTAAAGGAAATCCTAAGAGAACAGGGCTACACTGTGTAGTGCTGGGATAAACAAAGCAAACTGTGCCTTCAGTGGTTTTGGAGTCAGCTAGACTGGGGAAACCTGTGCCTGAAATCTCACCTGTCGCCCATCTTTGTTGCATTATGTATGTTGTATGATACACATTTTCTCTGTGAGACAGTGCAGCCACAGTGGAAGTGTAACATGAGGCGACACGTACCTGGTACATCCCCTGCAGCGTACCCACAAGGAGAGTGACCTCCTCCACGACAGAAAGGTCATGCTGCAGTTCTTGCAGCTCCTGGTAGAGACGTGGAGGGCCGAGGATCGCTTTACCTAAGGAGTGGGCAACACACAAAGCCTTAGGGTTTACAAAATCACCAAAATATTATTTATTCAAAGAAAAAATTAGTACACTATTAGTACACTTGAAGCCTTTTTACACCGGGGGCGTGACAAATAAATGACACAAAAATGCAAAATGCTTGCCTCTAAATGTTGTGTATCAGATCTATTCATACCGGCAGCAATGTAAACTTGCAACAGCTACTTACTGAAAGCCTACTGACCCAGAGTGGCATCTGGCAGTCTCTCTGAGGTAAGCTGCTGTTTAAACTAATGCAAGCCATTTTATTGAATTCCCTTTTAGCCAAATGCTCTGAGTGAATTTGAGTTCCATCTGGAAAACATTAACACCGTGTACAGTAATGTTGTAAGTGTGGGGCTTTTCTTATGAGAGGTAAAAATGGAGTGAGTGTATCTGGTAGGTGCTGCATTTTGTAAAGGCTTAAAGTGAAGGGAGCAGTATAGTTTTATCATCCCTATAAAAATGCACAACATGATTGATTGATGCCGGTATTCGTAATGTGAAAGCATAGAAAAACTCGACTGTTCTGAAATAAAATTACGTCACTTTTTTGCTGTGTAATATCCACATTCTGTGTGAAAATACTCATGACAAAAACAACACTTTGATGTGCACTGATGTGCATTTAACTGGGCAAAAACAAACCCACCCCCTTTTGTTTATAAACTGTCATAAAATAATGACATCACAATTTCACAAACCTCACACAAAAAACACACCAAGCAGCATCAAAGTGCGCCCTGTTCTAATAACTACAATTTTCAGCGGCTGTGAGTCAGGTCCATGTTTGAGGCGGGATGATAGGTCAACATGTCACATGAGTGACGGGACTCTGTTTACTGCCTGGCTGTGTGTATTCTCTGACTGTTATTCACCAATTCACTTGGTGTGTTTTCAGTGTTAAGGTCATGTCTGCAAATTGTTTAGTTAAACAGTCGAAAGCCCTGCGGTTTTCAACATACATTCAGATAATTCTCATTTACTCTTTCATTATCCGTAATTGCTTATCCTGTTCAGGGTCGCGGGGGCCTGGAGTCTATCCCAGCTGACACTGGGCGAGAGGCGGGTTACACACTGGACAGGTCACCAGACTATCACAGGACTGACATGTAGACAGACAACCATTCACGCTCACATTCACACCTACGGCCAGTTTATAGTCACCAATTAACCTGCATGTCTTTGGACTGTGGGAGGAAGCTGGAGTACCCAGAGAAAACCCACGCTGACACGGGGAAAACATGCAAACTCCACACAAAAGGGCCCAGCCAGTCGGAGGGTCTTGCTGTAAGGCGACAGTGCTAACCACAACACCCCCATGCTGCCCTTTGATAATTCTCATTTTTGAAAACTGGCAACCAGTAAATGTTTGAAAATGACTTGATTAAAAACATGTGTCATTTAACTAACCATTTAAAAGCCTAAATTAAGAATTCCAATATGTTATTTCCATGGCCTATAAAATTTCAATCAATATTTATGAACGTGAGCTGCTCTCTCTCAAAGCCAGACACCTGAGAAATAAGTCTCAAATTAGTGATGTCATAAAGTATTAAGTCTGGAGCTGCTCCATAGACAGTTAATGGGAGCCTGATTTTGTGGGCCCAAAGAATACTTGTTTTCCTTTTTATACTCAAATAAGCTTTATTCTCTTGTAGTGTTCTACGTTGTGAAACAGAAAATGTGCCCATATACTCAGAACGTTCCCCTGGGTGTTCTCAGTGTGACTGTAACATCTTTTACAATTTATTGTCTGTGGAACAGCTCCAGATTTTATATACTATGGAATCACAAATTTAGGTTTAAGCACTCTAGTTTGGGATTTGGGAGAGATTTGTTAATTTCTCATTATATCTTGGACTGTTTTAGACAACTGTAGTAACATGTATGAATTTTGAAAATTGGCAAAGTTTCCCTTTAAAGGATACAAGGATAAAAGATCCCAGCAATATATACAATAAACATGTGTGGTACATGGACCATCATCCTGATACCACCATGAAATATACATGAGCGTTCAAGGTTAAAGTGCTTTACCCTCTCAGAGAAAACAATGACATTGCCTCTGAGAACTAGTGGAAGTGCAGAAAGAAAAGTTGCTTTTGCTGAAACTCCAGTGGCACTAATAAAAGAGGTTCGATGTGCAGATGGATCGATCTTCATTATTTGTTGAACTACAGAGAATGAATTTATGAGCAAAAAAATCAGATGGAGAAACTGTTACTCGGAGCTATGATGCCCTTTTGCTGGCCAAAAGGAATGCAGGTGTCTCATTAGACGCAAAATTCAGCATCGATTTGAGGCCCGCTACCTTCAAAGTCTCTCTCTCCTACTGCTGCGAATCGATAGCTGTGTCTCCTCCTGTCTGCCATCCTCCGTCCTGGCTCCCCTGGCCCACATCTCCCCAGCAGCAGGCTCCATGAGAGCTGCCTAATTAAATTCTGCAGGTAGATTTTGCTCCTGAGCTGTCCTGCACTGTCACCGCTGCCACATAATAAAGTAGCAGAAGAGCTGAGCCGGTAGGCGGGCTTAGTGAGGCATGCTCCTCCGAGGGGACCTGCCGTCTTTTGTCTATCCACGTGCATAAATGGAGTGAGAGTAAAGCCGTAAGAGGAGAGGGAATGAGAAAAAGAGAGTGGTGGGCTTGCATTGTTCATTTAAAGAGCTCCATTGTAGCTTTTGGGGTTTAATGGGATCTTTGTCACAGGCCGCCAGTGACATCTGTCATCTGTGTGAAGAAATCAATAGGTGAGACATCTGAATATAAAAGGGTGTGCAGTGAGCTGCACGAACAATGTCTTCCTGTCCTCTCCAAAGGGATTGCCTGAAACCCTGTACAGGTTCGTTGAGTCCTCTGGGGCTTGCTGTTGGCTACGGCCCGAGAGGTGAATGTGCTGAGTTGTAATCCAGCGTAATCCCGTTGGTGAGGCAGGATATGGTTTTCACACTCAGACATGGCTATACACATCGGCCGCCAGGCACGTAGCTCACTGGTGTGGAAGGCCAGAGCCCAGAGGGGTCCATCCCTGCTTTCTCTGGAATAAGTCAGCAATCTAGCCCTCAGCGGCTGTGCCAGTGATGCCGGCCAGTGGATTTAAAGACAATGCAGCTTCCACACCTGCATCAAAACCCTTGTCTGATCCGCAGCCAAAGCCCACTGGTACATCTCTGACAAAAAAAAAAACTGCACTCCTGACAGCAGGTCAAAAGAGAAGCAGCAATAAGGGAGGTGTAATGGGGGCAGAATGAAGGTAAGGCAGCATAAACAACTGGCACACTCTGCTTTCAAACAAAGAGCATGTACGTCGGCGGGCTTTCTGTGTGTTGGTAAGAACAGACAGGGAAAGAGACAGTCCGACAGAGACAAAAGGGAAGAGTACGAAAGACAGGGTTGCATTTCCCTAAAGGCCAGCTTTCTTCAATAAAGAAGGGCGCCAGGGCCTGCACAAGATGAAAAATGACTCCATTTTGAGCCATGCTGAGGGAACGCAGGATTTAGACGAGACACCCCACTGAATGACATCACAGGGGATGAAACTATAAATAGATGGGACAGCCTGTCTGAATAAAAATTTGGGGGAACGGTCCCACAGATGTTCGGGGAGGTTTCTGGATAGGCATGATTAAGGTGACCGCACCGTGTCGAAAAGGTGGGGAAAAAAAAGAAAAAGAAGAAGAAGAAGAAGAAGAAGAAGAGAGAATGTCAGAGCCAGAATCCAGCACCACTCTCTGTGGGGCATAACATTTGCAGAGTTAGACGCAGGTGAAGGAAGGAGAGACAGCTGCATTGAGAGCTAACCTTAAATGATCCCCAAACCTTGCAGCAAAGTTGTGAGTATACACTACCTGAGCAAAAGCAAAAACTTAATCCAGTGAGAATCTGAACCAGCTCTCAAAACAGTAGCTGCTTGCCGAGCATGACACGGGGAGCTCTGAAGAAGGCGGCATTAATATTTAAGTCATGGAGCTGCAACTTTAAAAAGCCTGTACCATTACATCCTGATAAGGCTTTGTATCTTCCTTTTCCCATGGCACATTTATCAGGGATCTCGTCAAGCTCTGTATACACCAGAGTTTAGTGAGGGGTGGTGGGAGAACTAGTGTTTCAACCACCGATTCCTATCTACTGCTACTGGCTCTCTAATTGGGCCTGGAAAGGGAGGGAATAATCTCTGCAGATTGATGACTCCACTCTCGATGTGTTTGTGGTCTATCAGAGAGTGAAATGAGACTGTGGGGATGCTGCGGCAGGGGGCTCTCTACCCCCACATCTCTCTCCAAGATAAAACACCCTAGGCAGATTGGAACAAGTGACCGTCATCACTATCCTCCTCACAAACACATCCTCAATCAGAGTGACAAGCAGCACGGATGCATCTCCAGCCCTCTGCGGGACACTTGAGAACAGAAACAGATTAGCCTTGCTGAGTCAGAGTAAGGGGCTGAGACTAAAAGTCAGTCCAAGTGATGAGATTAACTGGGGGATGACACATGGGGGGGAGAGAAATGAGATAGGACCGGTTCACTTTGATTTTAGGTTTTACCTGAAGTGCTGGCGACACTTGCGCGCTTGGCTCCGCTCTGCTGGAAGAAGGTGTCTTTGCTTTGAGAGCCCTCCTGCCCCACCTCGACTACTTGCACCTGCTGAAGGGGGGCGCTCCACTTCATGGTGTACTTGGGACCGACAGGGACCAGGCTGCTGATATCCGGAGGCCCCCTGGTGGAGATAAGAAGAAATTAAAAATATGAGAGGAGGCAGTTTAGAAGGAAAACAACCTGAGAGAATTTCCCTCCCTATCCACATTTTGCTAACAGCACTACACACAGCTCTCCATAGGAGGAGAGATGTCATGAAGACGACTTGGGAGTGGGAATTAGAATCTGTATGATCACCCATGTTCCCTGCCAAAATTGTACCCCTGGCTGTGAGGAGGAGTTCATTGCTATTCATGTATTCCTGTAATCACGCAGACAATCAACATTGTGATCGGTTTGTCAAGATCCTGGAGGGCAGACAAAGTCAACTTCGGGACACTCGAGTTGAATGAGACGTAGAGCGATAATTACTTTGAAGGCTTAACAAGAGGGCTTTAAGCGACATCTTTGACAGGAGCTTTGCAAAATATACAAAATCCCTTTCCTGTTTACTTCAAGAGAGAGAGAGGGAGAGAAGGAGAGAAGGAAGGAAAAAGAGAGGGAGAGATGTGATCAATGGTGCTGTCACAGAAGATAAATTGGAAAGAAACCAAAAAATGTTTTATGTCAGTAATCTAGGACTCCTGTAGCTGTAGTTAGGCATTCTACCATTTGTTTAAAGCTGATAAAGCTCCTGCAACTCCAGATAGTGCTCAAATCCCCTAGCAGCTATTTCTCTTTCCTATGCAGTTTGCCAAAATATCCTTGCAAAACCGAGGGCATCACATTAGAGCCCTGTGCCACCTAATAGCTATTTCTCCTAACTGTGCAGTTTAGCAGACTCTCCTTTCAAAACTCACACAACTTCATGCTAGAACTGCGCATTATGAACGCATTAGCAAAGTATTTTTGAATGCAAGGGCATTCGGCTCGACTTGTTCTGCAAGAGGGACTTACTTGACATTTATGTTGGCACAGATGAGCACATCATCAAAGAGGAAGACCTTTCTCTCCTTCGACTTCAGGACTTGTCCCCGCTCGCCATACACAGTCTCAATAAGCGTCTCACAAAGGACCAGTGACCCCTGCTCCGAGTTCAGTTGCTAAAAGGGACACAGCAATCAGATCAGAGGAGGAGGAGACAGCATCACAAAGGGCCAGTCCTCCAGAGTTTGGTGCCTGGAGGACACAGAAGTCAGCCTGGGAGGAACAGATGTCTCATCGGGGATTAGCAACACATTCATGCTGCTGAAGGTCACTTAATGTGCGTGATTGTTAGGGCTGAACGATTAATCGAATTCAAATCGTCATTGTGATGTAATAGAAAGCAATTTTTAAATAGCTAACGATGCTATTTGTTTATTGCTACAGGATCGAACCAACCAGAGAGTCAGAAACGCCTGGCGCTGTGGGCTTCACGTGCACACTGTCCTACACTGCACGTGACATATAGGAATGAGAGTAGATAAAGAAAACACCTTGTACAAATGCTATGCACAAGATCTGATGCTCGCAGTACTAATATATGAAAATAGACATTGGACACGACAAGTTTAAGTACACTCCATGTTTACATATTATACTGTTGTAAGGGTAGCGTTATGTGTGTGTAGCAAGTGTGTGGTCGTGTGACACAGAGTGCATGACAGTGGAGGCTTTCAGAGCAGCTGAGGAGAAATTTGCACCAAAGTTGTCTCCTGTTAAAAAACGCTTCAGCTCCTCGAGACCCAAGAAAACTTTCTGTGTCTCCTTTTCTGACTTCTGGGAAAGTTAACATATTTACATCGATGTGAGCTGTAGAACCATATTCAGTGTGCATTTATTCTACTTTTCATGCATTAATGTTCATACTCTGGCCTGTTGTTCTGCAGTGCTTTGTTATTATATTTTTCAGAGTTTACTGAGTTAAGTCATGATGGTTATATTACATGTTTATGAAGTTTAAAATTACAGGTTATAATTTACTGTGATTAAAGGATTATAGAATTCAACAGCTACATAAAGATGTTATTCATTTCAGTTCATGCATCATCTCATTTCACTGTAACAAGTAGGCTTAGCCTGTGAAAGAGCTATTCATAAGTCGACTGTACCAATGTTGTGTTGGTCATGACTTCAAATTTGTCAAATTTGTTTACTGAAAGCAAAAGTGTGTAAGATTTAGGGTGATTTAGGGACATCTAGTGGCGAGGACTGCCCATTGCAACTGGCTAAAACTTTTCCCCGGTTAGAATTCCTTCAGTGTCCATTGTTCTGGCGGATTTTACCAGGAGACTAATTATGTGCAGAGGTCTAATTCTCTCCAAAAACGGACCCAGTGACTTAAACAGGTAAAAACACTGAATAAAGCAGTTTCACTTTAAAAATAAATCTGTTTTTAACGATGCTCTTGTCATGAAGGGGCTGCTTTACCATGGCTGATGTGAAAACATGAATGGCTCTAT